GTGCAGGCGGGAGGAAGCTGGGGAGCCAAACAGGCCTCAAAATTAACATCTGCAGTCATCCTCCTTCTCTGCATGTCAAGCAAAAGGTTTCAGCCCCATAGCTCAGGTCAGTTGCTTTCTAGGGGGATTCAGCAAGATTAGTACCAGGTTCTCCTCTTTGAACAGCAAATGACTGTAGCAACAGACTCAGCAGCTTCAAGCTTTAGTTTCCATTGCAGTAGAGAAGAGGCAGGGAGATGAAAATGTCTGCTGTTAGGTAGTGCAGGTGAGCCAATTCACAGCACAGAGGCTGCAAATTTCATATTTTTCATTATCCTCTGCCATCAGTAGCTCAAACTGGCAAAAACGGCAACACTTGCCTCTCTCAATTAACCTGCTAGACAGCAGAAGGATGAAGATGACACATATCAAGACAGAGCAATTACTCACTTGGACCACAGGGCTTCACTATTGTTCTACAACCCTAGGCTAATTTTTGAGGCGGTGACAGTAAGACTGCTCATTATTTATACTGCAATAAAACCCAAATACCTGAGCAAAAGTAAGCTCCATTTTAGAAACAAAGTATTGTCTGTGATCCAAAAAATTTATTACTAAGCATGATCCTTGAAGCTAGCTTATAAACACAATCACTGCCCTCAAATTACACCCCCACCCACCAACTAATGTCTTCCTTTAAAAAAAGTGTGCGCGCCAAGTGCCTCTTTGAGACCATAGATGGCTTGTGAGCATCCTTACTACATACACGTAAGGGGGCGGGGGGGGAAGAAGAGGCAGTTTGAAGGACTTTTTTTTTTTAATTCATCTGTCTAGGGGACACATTGGGCAGGGCTTGACATTTTGCAACTAATGCAAGTTTGCATAAATTAAATCAGTAGTTAAGTTCCTGAATTCCATGCTGAAATAAGTTACACTTTCATGTGTTCAATCACTACGTACCCAAATGGTGAAAACCATTTTTTTGAAGGAAAAACAAACAAACAAAAAAATCAGGTATTTTATGTCTGCACTGATTGCTTTTGTGTCCCATGGACACTGTGGATCCTTCTGTAAAGTTTCCCACGCAGTAGGAGTTCTGTAGTCTGATTTGATATGTGGTTAATGAATTACAGGAAGTTTGTATTATTTCAGTTATGATGTACAGATGAGTGTGATATATTCCTGATAATAAATACATGCTCCAACACAAGTAGG